AACATTACCAAAGAGTTATCATTTACAATCACCAACTAAACTTCCTTATAGTGCATATATTGCAAATCATAATAATAATAATAATAACAATAATAATAGTAATAATACTACTACTAATATTACTACTACTACTACTACTACTACCACTACTAATAATAATAATAATAATAATAATAATAATAATAATAATAATAATAATAATAATAATAATAATAATAATAATAATAATAATAATAATAATAATAATAATAATAATAATAATAATAATTTTAATATTAATGGAGTATCATCACTCTCACCAATATTATCACCAACATCAATAAATAATAGCAATTCACCACTACTAACTAGCGTTAATGGAGGTGGTAATGGATTATCAGTTAAGCTTAATCTATTAAATAATAAAAAATCAACCATTTATATACTAGTTAACATTGCAATATGCAATATAAGTAATTGTCATGATTCTATCATTGTATTAGGACCTAGTATCGATTTCATAGAGCTATCTGATTGTTCAAAATTAACAATCATTTCAATTACAAAATCAATAAGGATAAAGTATGTTATTATTGTAATTTGCTGTAGCATTATAATTAATACATATACTAAAATTAGATCCATCTCTCTCTCTCTCTCTCTCTCTCTCTCTCTCTCTCTCTCTCTCTCTCTCTCTCTCTCTCTCTCTCTCTCTCTAATTATTTTTATAGATCATCAAATAATATTTCATTATATATTTGTTGTAATCAAAAACCAATAATAACATCAGATTGTATAGGTATTAAATTAGCGCCATATAACACACACTATCCAAATTTAGAGCAACAACTTATTACATCAAAACTATCAACAACTTTATCAAATAATCGTTGGAATACTCCCATAATTTTAAAATCGTTTTCTCCTTTAAATTCTCCAAATATTATTAATAATAACATTAATAATAGCATTAATAATAATAGCAATAATAAAAATATAAATACTACAAATAGTGGCTTAATTATACCACCAAAACTACCTTTAGAGCCTTTAGATAGTAATAATAAAAATAATAATAACAATAATAATAATAAAAATAGTGACCAAGATAATGATGACGGTGATGATAATGAGGACGAAAATGAAATCAAAGATGAAAAAATAGTATCAAATATTTATTCAATATTGGATGCAGAGGAATTCTTTCCTTTCACTGTACCATTTTTGATTAAAGGTAAAACAAAGAATAATCCATGTGAATTGCCTTTAAATTATGTAAAATGTTTAGCTTCTAAAACAAACTCTGTTCATTCATTACATAAATTAATTCAACAAACTACAAATGACCCAAAAACAAAAGCCACTTTATTGCACTTAATTGAATCTAAATTTCAGGTATGTACATAAATAAATTTTATAACAACTATTATTATTATTTTTATTTTTATAGTTTTATAATTTTATTGAAAAGGAAAAAAAAATAATTAATAATATTTCTATTATTTCATTAATACTTTATTATTATTATTATTATTATTATTATTATTATTATTATTATTATTATTATTATTATTATTATTATTATTATTATTATTATTATTATTATTATTATTATTATTATTATTATTATTATTATTATTATTATTATTATTATTATTATTATTATTATTATTATTATTATTATTATTATTATTATTATTATTATTATTATTATTATTATTATTATTATCATATTTAGGAATGGTTAGTTGAAACTGATAACATAAGGCAAATAAATGATTTAATTAACATGAAAAGATAAAGGTTTAAATTAGATGATTTTTTTTTTCAAACAGAATTAAAAATAAAAAAAAAAAAAAAAGAAACTTAAATATTTAAAAAAGAAAAAATCACCCGTTTTTTGATCAAAAAAAAAACAAATGGATATTAATATCTTTAATTTTTACTTTACCCATTTTTTCACTTTTTTTTATTTTTTTTTTTAAATTACTGACATATTGTTTTTTTTTTTTATTTTTTTTTTATTTTTAAATTACTGCTTTTTTTTTATTTTTTTTTTTATTTTAAATTACTGACGTATTGTTTTTTTTTTTTTTTTTGTTTTAGAAAAAAAATACAATGATATTAATAATAAAATAATAATTGAATTGGCAATAATAATAATAATAGTAAAAACATTAATAGTAATAATAAAAATTTAAAATTTTTCAAATAATGATAAGAGATAAATCGTCAACCTATTTTCAATGTAGAGAGGAAGCAAGAATTAATAAAAAAGAATCTGATAGAAAAGAATTTTTAACGTTTATGTCTGAAAGATCTTATAATAATAATCAACCAGCATCAATTCCATCTTCGTCACCATCCTCTTTTCCAAATATCTTCTTAAATAAATCTTCAAACAACAACAATAGTAATTTTAAACCATCATCATCATCGACATCTTCATTTATAGGATCATCACAACCAAAAGAGAAATTAACTAATAAACCATATTGTTTTAATTGTGGTAAAGAGTTTGGAATATTCACATCAAAGGTAGCATGTGATTTATGTAATATTAATTTCTGTGTACCATGTATCAAAAAGATATCTAGTAAAGATATAACAGGTGTACTAAGAGAAGGACAAGTTAAAAACTATTGCCCTAAATGTGTATTTATAGTAACTCGTGAAGAAACAACTAGAAAGTTTTCATTTAATTGTGAAAAAGCTTTACAAGATCCAATTTATTTAATTTATAGTGAAATCACTTTAGTTAGAAAATCAATTATAGGTTGTTTACCAAAGTATGTTAAAATGAATAAACAATGATAATATTAAAGTATCAAATACATTAAAATAATACTAAAAACTAATTTTCTTTTTATAATTATTATTATTATTATTATTATTATTATTATTATTATTATTATTATTATTATTATTATTATTATTATTATTATTATTATTATTATTATTATTATTATTATTATTATTATTATTATTATTATTATTATTATTATTATTATTATTATTATTATTATTATTATTATTATTATTATTATTATTATTATTATTATTATTATTATTATTATATTGATTAAATTAGTTTTGAATATTTAGCTGAATCAATTACAAATTTTAATAATGCATCAGCAAAAAATAGAGAAACATTTTTACAGGTTTATAATGAAGTAATAACTTTACAAAATGATTTATCAGTTTTATTTAAAGATTTTGATAAACAATTAAAGTTAATTACATCTTCCCCAATCACTACACAAAAACAAGATAAAATTAAATTAAATATGAAATCAACTTATGTATCATTTTTACAACAAAATTTACCAAAATTTAAAACTATTCAAAATGTATGTATTTATTTATTTATTAAATAATTTATATATATTAATTATTTTTATTGTTTATGTATTAATTAAAAATAAAAAAATTTATTAGCAATTATTACATTTAGAAATGAATACTTGCACAAATACATATATTTATTTAAGTAGAATATCATTGGATAATAGATTGAATAGAGAATTTTGGCAAAAATATGGTAATGCATTTCAAGAGACAATGGGTATAGTTAGACAGGATTTATTTAGTGCAACAATTAAATGTGGTGAGAATTGGGATAAACATAAAAATTTAATTGATGATTTAATAGTTTTAGAGGAAAAATCTCATTTAAATTTATTGGTACCTCCAAATAAAGAGATCGAAAGTACACTATTAAGAAAGAATATCGAATTTTTATCAAAAGTTTTGGATCAAATTAATGTTAGAGTTAAACCTGACGAATTAAAAAATTCAAAAATTTCAATTCAACAATTACGTGACAATTTATCAATCGTTCATAAACAAGGTTTGGTTTTTTAACAAAAAAAATTTAAAATAAAACTTTTATAAATTGATGTAAATTATTTAAAATTTTTTTTTCTTTGTTCTGATTTAAAAAAAGGTATAGACTTGATTAAACTATTCCAATAAATTTGGAAGAGGCAAACATTGCCAACATAGAGATGATCAGTGGCTGTATCTTCATTAGCTAAACAGAAAGTGCATTATTAATGACACCGACTTTCTTTGACTTTTATATCTTAACCATTAGATTTTCCTTTTCTATTTTATATTTCATAATTCAACAAATGTCCATTGTATTATTTTAAGTAAAAAATGAAAAATGAGAAATATTTATATAAAAAAATTTAAATTATTTCTCAAGTGTTTAAATTGGAACGCAATTTAATAAATTACTTTTAAATATTTATAATTTTATTTATTTATTTATTTATTTTATTAATATATTTGATTACAAATAATTTAATGAAAGAATGTTAGCTTTTATATTAAAAATAAAGTGTTGATTCGATTATTATAATATTAAGATTAATGTGATATTTGATATTCATTGAATTAGAAAGTGTGTGTTGTAAGAAGTATGAAAATGTAAATTATTAGAAAGTTATTTTTAACCTTTTGTCAGTTATAAATCTCATGTAATCTGTGATTTACGATCTGTAATCTGCAATCTTCGATCGAAGATTTAACATCAGAGATTTGTTATCTGATGGTCGTTTTTTTTTAAATAACCTCATCCAATTGGATGTGTTCGAATCTAGTTTTTATTTATTTATTAATTATTTTAATTTGAATTTTTTTTTTCTGTGACCACGTTAATTCGTGGTATGACCAAGACTTGAACCAAGGCCATGGAGGCTGTGTTATTCTGTGTGAAACCACTATGCTAAGCCCCCCACCTCTGATGGTCGTTTTTTTTTTTTTAATAACCTCATCCAATTGGATGTGTTCGAATCTTGTTTTTATTTATTAATTATTTTAATTTAAAGTTTTTTTTTTTCTGTGACCACGTTAATTCGTGGTATGACCAAGACTTGAACCCAGGCCATGGAGGCTGTGTTATTCAGTGTGAAACCACTATGCTAAGCCCCCCACCATCTGATGGTCGTTTTTTTTTTTTAAATAATCTGATGCTCGTATCTTACCTGATTCTCCACAAATTTCTCATCCAAGCGTGTGTGGTCTAGTGGCATGATAACTGCCTTCCAAGCAGTAGAACCGGGTTCGATTCCCGGCATACGCAAAATTATTTAACACATTTAAATGGTTAGATCAAGGGTTCGAGTCTTTGTCATGAGCGCAAGAAGATCAAGATACCCAATGGAACAGGGTGGGTGGAAAATATGGTACATCGAACAAAGACAAAAAGCCCAAAGACTGGATATGTTCCACCCACCATGTTATATTGGGTATCTTGATCTTCTTGCTTTTTTTTTTTTTTTTTTTTTTTTTTTTTAATCCCAATTATATTAGGGAGGCTTAGCGTAGTGGTTCCACGCTGAATCAGAAGCCTCCGTGGTCAAGACCTTGGGATCGAGTCTTGATCATACCAAAAGTAACGTGGTCATAATTAAACCCTCATTATTGGAGGCTATACGTAGTGGTTCTGCGCTGAATCACACAGTCTCCGTGGCCTTAGTTCGAGCCTTAGGTCATACCACGAAGTAACGTGGTCATAAATAACACACCTCATAATCAACAGGAAAAAAAGCTCGACTTCCAAAAAAAACAACAACAAAAAAAAAAAAACATGGTGATTAGAAATTCTAATCCCAATAATATTAAAAAAAAAAAAAAAAAAAACCCAATTATATTAAAAAAAAAAAACAGACCCTTTGCATACAACAATGTAATAGCATTAGTCATACATCACATATGGATATGGATTTGTAATCAAATTTATGGTGACAAAGCGCTTCAAGATACTAATTTGGATTTTGAACTGTTATCAAACAAATGGCACAAACTAGCATCACTAGAATATATTTAACTATTAAAAGACTACAAGCTATCAGCAGCCAAAGATCCAGAAATCTTTTGCGATAATTCATATTACAGTAAAATGAAAAAAATCAAAAAAAGAATAGCAATCAAATACTGTATCCTTAAAAAATTACTTCCTAATAATGTGATGTGGTTGACTTTTTCATAAAATAAACTTTATTATTGTTATTTTCTCCTATGAAATTTGGAACAAAAAGTCTCAAAAAACATATAAAAAAAAAAAAACCTAACAAATAAATAAACTTTATTATTGTTGAGACTAAGGTCATACAATAATCATTAATATTAAAAAAAAAAAAAAAAAAATATTTTATTAATTTTAATTTATTTGGCTTTTGCTTTTGGATTTGGAATAAAATACAATTGTTTATGTTTTTCCTCTAACTCAAGTACAAAGGAAATTTCATGAACAGAACTAAAACCTTCGCTGGTTGTTGGTTGTTGATAATTCTTTTTGAAAATATTGTAAACCATACTTGGGATATGTTTAACACCATCTTTTCTTTCACGATAATAGTTGAGATGGCCTGCCAATTCGAGGGAAGTATTAAAATTTAAGCAACGAGCTTTTGCATTGTATTTCTTGGCCAATGCAAGGTATTGTGAACGAACATCCTTTGTACCATTTGTATTATCGATAATAACTGATTTACCTTGAGAGAGAGCTAAGTTTGCAGCTTTTATACATCTCTCTTTGGTGGTCAATGTATCTTGATTAATGATCTCATAACCAGCTGGGCCAAAATATTTTTTAGCAAATGTTGATTTACCAGATGCTGGGAAACCAACGGAAATAACAATTTCAAAATCTTTTGTAGTGATTGAATCAACATCAAATCTTTTACCCGTTGTTGGAGCACTTGGAATTAAAGAGGAGACAATATCACCACCACCAGCCAAAACAAAATGTTTTTCACCAAGGAAATGAGTCTCTGGAGTTTCAAAACGAATACCGACAGTCATGGCAAAACCCAAATCACTATTACTGAAATCTTTTTTATAACCAGCTTTCCAACCATCTGGACGACCTGCAGCATCACCACAATAGAATGATTCACTCTCGTTGATTACTACTTTACCATCGGTACAATCATACATCATATCCCACATTTTTCTATTTGGTTTTCTGTTGGCATCGTCAGAGCAAGCAATGAATGCAAGTAATGGGAAACCTAATTCTTTCTCGAGGATTTGAATCTTTTTAGTGATATCTGAAAATTTACTTTGACAAAATTTACCTCCATGACCAATACCACCTTGATTAGTAAAGATAACAACTTGGTAGCCATCATTGTAAAGTTGTTTAAGATTCTTTGGAACACAATCTTCCCACCATAACCAATCATCTTTATTAATTGCATGAACTCTACCAGATTTATTTCTAATCAATGTACTATCCATATCAAATGATGCAATCTTTGGTCTAGATAAAACTTCACCAAGATAATAAGCAATTGATTCATCTCTAATCCATTTACCAATTTCATCTTCACATTTTTCAAATGGTCCAACTTTATTAACTTGGGCACCATTTGATGTTGTAGAGGTAGTAGTGGTTGTTTGTGGTACAATAATGTGATCATCATTATCATCGTCTTCTTTTTCCTCGGTTTCTTCCTCTTCTTTTTCTTCATCTTGTACTCGACGCTTTTTATTATCAATTGCAGCGGGTTTCTTTGATGATGTTCTTTTAACTGGTGCTACTGGTTTTTCAATTTCTTCATCTTCAGTATCTTCTTCTTCTTCTTCTTCTTCTGATTCATCTCTTTTCTTTTTCTTTGATTCTTTACTGGTAGTGGTCGAATTACTATTTGTTGAGTCATATTCTTCTATTCTTTCAATGAGTTCATCTTTTTTACCATTGGCTTTCAAGCCTTTTGACTTTGCTAAACTTTGAAGCTGAGCATATGACTTACTAGAATAATCTTGTGCCATTTTTTTTAGTTCTATAATTTTTTTATAAAATTATTTATTAGTTTTCGAAAAAAATATTATTGCAATAAAAAAAAAAAAATCAGTTTTTTTAAAAAATGGCCAAAAAAATTTCAAAAAAAAAAGTTTATTTTGAATAATTTTTTATTTTCCTAGAACTTTGAGAGAAAAGGTGGCTTAAAAAAAGAATCGTTGTGAGCGAATCTGAAAAAAGAATGTTTTTCTTTAATCTTTGAGATTAATTTTTTTTTTTCTTATAAAACTTATTTCTTTGACAAACTTTTTTTGTTTCTTTTTCATGTCTAAAGAATATTATGATTTTTATTTTTATTTCCGCTTTGGCTTGCCAATTGATTTGTTATTTCGCTTGAATATTTTTAAAGTTAGTTTAGTGATAATAAAATAATAAAAAACTATATATCGATAACATACATATTTTTACAAATTGAATTTAAAGTTTGAGTTAATTTTGTTAAATCTTCTTCTTTTTCTTTGATTGAGTCATAAATATTTGTATCTGCATCTTCTTTACCAATATTTTCGATGTCATGTATTTTTATTCTTTCAGAACCGATAGATACTTGTTTCATTGATAATTGGGCTTGTTGTTTTCTAATTTCTTGAAAATCTTTTAATATCTTTTGTTGATTCAAACCAAATGCTTTCATCTCACCTGCTTGAAACTTTTCATTTATCTTTTTTAATTCCTCATCTAATAATAATACACTACTGTCATCCATTTTGTTTTTATTTTTATTATTTTTTAAATATTCATATAATGTTGAAAAATAAAAAGAAAAGAAAAGAGGGATTGGTTTAAAATTATATGAAATATTAATTATGTGTGGTAAAAAAAAATAAAGTAGAAAAAAAAAAAAACTTAAAAAAAAAAATTTTCATTTTTTTTTTTTTTTTTTTTTAATTTAAAATAAATATCCTTAATGGTCGTTTTTTTTATTTTTTTCCCATTTTTTTTGAAATAGTGAATGAAAATGGAAAATAAATAATATTTTTAATAATAGAGATCTAATGAATAATATATTTTTTATTAATTAGTTTTTTTTTTTAATTTTTTTTTAAATTTTTTATTTAAAATTTTATTTTTTTTTATTTTTTTTTTATTTTTATTTTTTTAATTTTTTCATTTTTGTTTTTTTTTATTTTTATTTTCATTTTTTGTTGAACATACGAATATAAATAAAAATTCAAATAAAAAAATACATATTATGAAATCGTCGACAATAAACGCAAACAACAATAAACAAGATAGTGATAGTCATATAACAACACAAAAAAAGTCATCGTCAGCTAAGAAGATATTTACACCAAATATACCAAAACAAAGAACAACAAAAAATAATGATTTATTGACGGAGATGGTTTTAAATCCAACAAAATTTGAAATCTCTTCAAGAAATGGTAACAATCTAAATGAATATAAAGAGAAGGATAAAGAGGATGAAGAAAGACAACAAAAAATTCAAAAAGAAATTCAACAACTTCAACAACAAAATATAAATAAAACAATTAAACCAGTTATTTTAAAGATTAAAAGAAAGATAGATGATGATGCATTACCATCAATTTTTATTGAAAGACCAAGAAAAAAAGCATTTTTAGATTCATTTAAAGATTTTGGTATTCAAAATAAAGAAGATGAATATGACGATAATGATAACCATAAATTACCAAATGATCAAATACAAACACCACAAGAAAATAATAATAATGATATAATAACAACACCAAACAAATTAACTGTACCAGAAAAAGATAGAAAACTATTTACATTGATTACAACACTTGATGTACCATCCAATGGTAATAAAGTAATATTAACTAAACTTCAACAAAGAATTGAAGAATTTAATCAAAAAGGTGTTGTGTCTTCACCAAAACAATTAGAATCAAAACGAGAGAGAGCAATTGTTTGTATTTTATTTTTATTTTTATTACCTTTTCTAAATTATTTTACTAATAGTTTTTCTTTTTAAAAAAATTTATAATAGAAAAAAAGAAAAGAGTCAAGATATAAACAAATTAATACCAATAGAAATTTATTTAGTAAAGAAGAAAGAGAATTATTTCAAGATCATGATGTTATTGAATTGGAAAGAACCATATTGGATCCAAACAATTTATTAGGTTCGACTTTATCAAAAGAAGAGGAAGAACTAATTTCAAATTACAGAACATTATTAGATGAACATTTAGGTGGTAGTGGTTGCGATAGTAAACCAATGGAAACTAAATATGTTTATGATTATTATTATTTTAATCCATCAATAGATCAACAATCACAATTAT